GAAGCCGTCACCGCGAGATTGGACTCGTTTCCGTATTCTCTTCTGGTTGACATCTCAAAACATTTACCTAATACTCATGAAATCATTTTTTTTCGACAATCTGTAAAACATTCCGTCATGCTATTCCAAACCACCCAAAATTCTACGCAGATATTCCTCTCTGGAGATTCCTGCTCAGTTGACTATGACCCTTCCGACACCGTGGCCAAAAGCTTCCTATCTTTTCGATCATACCCTCCATAGTTACGCAGTCCAAACCCGTGGCCAAAGCCTTAAAAATACCAACCTTGGCTCGTTAGAATCATAGAGTCGTCTGAACGGAAAGGTCATGCTGAAGGATACTTCATGTTTGTTTCAGTACACGGAAATGCCCACGAAGACTTCCCCCAGCGCTTAAATTTGCTGGATATCAAATGAGAGTAGTATCAAAGGCTTACGAGCTTGATCTCACTATTTCTGATCGTGAAGACAGAAGTATAAAATATAAGTTTGACTCAGTGAAGCCTTTCTTTGTTCGAAAACTGGTTATTACTCCAACGCTTGAGCAAGTTGATGAAAAGGCTTTGTCAAGGGTGATTCAAGTTCGCTGCTATGGCCCTTGAAGGTGGTGGAAGCTTGCACGTTTGGAGGCGTGGAGATAAAAGTTGGAGTTTATAACATGCGAGGGAATATCCTCCTTTGAAGATATTCTCTACTACAAGGAGAAATTCTACATTTGAACCACATGGGTCTAATTTTTATTGTCGATCCACAACCCTGTACATTACAAGACTTGCTGGTCCAATGCCGAACATGGCTGCCGGAATTAAGTTCTTTGGTATTCTGTGAAGAGTTGTTATGATTATTAAGTACTGGACACATAACTATCCGAAACCTGAAAAGAATTCTAATACGATTCATTACCCGATTCACATGGAGGCTTTTAAGCTGGACGAGGCTAACAACATGTGGGTAGAGCTGGACCAGGAGTTGAGATCGAGTGTTTTGTGGGAGATGGCGGTTCGTTCACACTCCAGTCGACGAGATCCTGGTTTTGAGGTAATTGTGTTGTTTTAGGTGAGTTACGTTTTCTGGAAATGTGTATGCGTCATCCAGGGTACAAGCTGGAGTTTACAACTTGAAGAATCATACAAGTATGGCGATCCGGGATCATCCAACTGTTCTGATTTGTTTGGCCACCACCAAAGTGGGTGAGAAGGAACCACTTCAGCTAATTCCTAAACTAAGTAGCTTTAATTTTTCAACTTTAAATTTCATTTTCTATATGATTGTTTCTTGTTCAAAAGGTATGAATAGTTTGAATGATTTCCTTCCTCTAATATTTTTATTATCCTTGGGATGTGGTGTTTAGTGACAAATACTGTATATATTTTCTCTGATAGTTATTAAAGATGATACCTAAAAGGCTATAACTGAATAAATTTGATCATTACAGGTAGCGGCAACTGGAGTCTAGTCTATGCATCTACTTGAGAAGGCTGCAGTTGCTTGTTGGGGATGATACGGTCTTTGATGGAAAGTGTCTTTCGCTGCTTGTGTCTTACGTTTTATTTTGTATTTTAAACCATGGTAGCCAAGTATGAGTGTGTTTAACAAAATGGTACTGCTGTGTTTATTTTCTAAGATGTATTGGCTTACATTTAATTAATGGTGTGTAATGTTGTACTTCTTGGTGATCTTAATCTTAGTTTATATATTACTCAATGGTTGCATCTCCTTTTACGTTTTGCTTAGGATGTTTGGCTCAATCTTTGCATTGGATGTGAAAATAACAAGTAATCTTTAACAATAAAGATTGACTCATAACTTAATTTTATAAAGTTTTTTTATAACTTCAATATGACATTCGAATTAATCAGTTATAATAAGAAACGATAAATATTCCGAAATTACCACGTCGAGATTGTGAGTAAAAATGGTAGTATCGCTAACTTTTAGTTTCATGCTTACACTGTTAATCTAGGTGAGGTGTATGGAATACTGTAACGTTTGGTCAGCTGCATGGAAAATGATGATACACAGTGGTTACCACTTACCTCTATTACCTTGCGAGATTTCAATGAATATTTCGGGTAACACAACTTTCAACTTTCGTACGTAATTCGCTGTTTCGTTCTGCTAGGAATAGCTTGATATTAATATACCTTCGTTGATGATGAATTTCCTAGATGATGAATTTTCCTAATCGGTTAATGTAGCACCCATATGTAACTATTACTATCAAAAACTATCATCAAGTAAATATATGTAGAAAAAGACGTTTTTATTATTGAAAACGCGAATTGTTTCTATTTGTAAAAGATTCTTATAAAATAGTAGAGGAGGTCGGTAGAGACCTTCGAAAAGGAGAAGGAGTTGTTCCCTAAGATGAGAATTGAGAGTGTCACTAATAAACTACTAATGCTTTAACATAATTATAGGTATATTACTTAAGAGGTTTAAGTTCGAATCACTGGATTGCTATATTGATTTCTGTAACTCAAAGGCCAAAAGAGCAATGAAATGATAGGACTTGATTTGTGATTCAAAAATTATATCATAAACAGGCAAAAAATGGAAATAAGAAGGCAAATGAAAGTGATCAAACAACAAATAACAGCCCTTAATAGCTCTTAGAATTATGACTGCTTTCAAAATTCCTACAAAAAGAAAGTTTCATACCGAGTTTAAAACAAGCTACAAAAGAAGAAATCCGCTCCTGATAATTTGAGCTAAGTAACAACAAGAAGATCCGCAGAGTTCAAGCTCTGGTTTCACCCTAGCTTACTCAGACTGTTCATGTGTCTGAATCAGCATTGGTGGTTGTGTTAAGGTTGATAAATGCTGTTAGATCCCTGGTTTTACTGCAGAAAAAAGGGATCATTTTCTTCGTTCGGTTGTTTTGTAGTTTGCAGCTATTGATGAAACACTGGAGTTTGCCTCAGTTTGATCCAGTTGAAATATGACAATGCACTTCAGTCCTAGGAGTACCGAAACGCTTTCGCTGGGACCTGTTACAAATAGTACTCTCCTGTACGTTCATTTGTAGCAAAAGTATAGATTTCTTGCTCCAAAACTACAACTAACAAGTACTTCTTGCAAAATTATGACAAAATTTAAGCCAAAATCAATAAGATGATGACGCTCATCCAAAAATCGATTGATCGGGCATTTACAAAGGAGTATAAATGAATTTGGCATTTCAATTTTCATTCCATTCTTAGTAAGAAACACTAAATAGCAAACACACAAGTCACATGGAGATGCAAATTCGAGATGGTATAATCAACAAAACTTGTACATCAGATGTAGCATTCTCACAATGATGATGCACACAGGTTCTTTCTGGTAGTTATCCGAAATCCAAAAATCCAAAATATTCATCTGCGAGAAGAAGTGAGAGTGACAAGTTACTCTTAAAAGAATATGGCAAACATAGGATTTCAAACTGGCAGCACCATTGTTAGAAACATAGCAATTAAGATTAAGAATTGAATTGTATGACATTAACTTAAAGTTTATGACCTAAACTAGAGCGAAAAAGCCTCCAAAGTATGTGAGATTCAAGATGATGAACAGGGTTTCAGCCAAATCACTACGAGTGGGGAAGGAAGAAGAAAAATTCCGTTAAACCACTCATTGATGGAAACCAGACAAATTCAAATACACAAACTAAGCAATCGTATTCTAGCTATCGATAAAATTGTTTAGATTGGAAAAACTTGTAATTCGGTTACACAACAACATGGAGTTAGAACATTCTTGCAGAATCATAAGATAATAAATGTTCCCAACATGCCCATTACACACTTGAAGTCAAAATATCAAACAGTCTAACACTTTGGTTTGTGAGATTTGAAACCACATATTAACAAAAACCATAGTGAAACAAAATGTCTCAAAGCATTCAAGGCTGAAGACATTGAAACTTATTAATTTGCATCAGGGAAGATCACTCTCAAAAATTTCAACAGAAAAAAAAGGGGTCACTAGATATTTGTATGAACCAAATAGGTCTGAAACATTCCAAGCTCAAGTATTCAAACATAAACCATATTCATCTACTTTTGCTATGCTCCAATTCATGCAAGAACAGGTTTTAGAATTTGTCAGTATAACATCAGTCTATGGTATAAATTGATACAAGAAAGCTAATTAGTGAAAGAAATAGAGAGTAACACAAAAACAAAGTAATAGACAAACACACAAATCATTCCAGTAAAATAAAAAAAGAGATACGCGCGATTTACCCTGATTTACCTAATTAATAGACTACATCTCACTTCTCTCATTTACAATGAAGTAATTTGTCTTATAATTGTTATCATTCATTACAAGAGAAAAGTGTGTTTAAATACTAGGTTTAAGAGACTAAACCTAGTTTTACAAACATTCTTATTCTTAAGTCTAAACTCAATAAAGAATTAATAACTTAAAAAAATCTTTCAGCGGAACCCTTGAATGCGTTTACGTGGGCTACTAATGCTGAAGTAGTCACAACTCCAACAATTAGATATATTTTGATAAATAAAAAGAAAAGTTACATGAAGAAAAGGCACTTACATTCAGTATCACTATACTCATATACTGCTTTGTCCTTGAGCCAAGTTGGCAGAGGCCAAATTTTTTTTTACATTCAGTATCACTATACTCATAGCCAACATCCTCAAAATATACTAATTAAAGAGCAAACACACAAATTCAGAACGATAATGTGTAATCGAGATCAGAAAACAATTTCTTACATTATTACAAATTTACATTGTCGAGACAATCTTCTTCAAGTAGCCATTTTGAATCATCTGACGCATCTTCAAGATAATAAACATATGCAAGGATACAAGAGTAAAATGATGTCAGTATTTTCTTCCAGCAAATGCTTCAAATTCAGTAGTTCTCATCACTACACTGATCAAATCCCCATCAAAGACTCATAAATTAATCAGAAAATAAGAATTTGATAATGGTCCATCCATAAATAAGCATCAAATAAGTCCATTTACAAATGAAATTTAAACAAGCTAAAAGAAAAAGGAAAAACACTTACAATCAGAATCATGGTATAGATACTCCGGTAGGTCCGTCAGCCATGGAGGCGGTGGCCAGAAGAGTTTTCCATAGCCTGGAAACGTTGAGGGGCGTCCAGCAACATGTTTCTTCAAGTCATATATCCTCGCGTTCTTTCCAGGGCGGGTCGGGACACCATCCTCATAACAGAAAGGGAATTCATCCGTGTAATAAATACAATTCGGTTTACAACCCCAAAACTCCTTGGCCGAAACAGAGTAGGTGCAATTCTTACTCACAAATAACACACGATCCCCCAAATAATCCCTAACCGGCTCCCACTTCAGTCTCTTTTTATTAAGCTTGAGGACCATGATAGTATCCCGGCACCGTTTAACCACCAAGAATAAATCTTTCAGCGAGTCAACCAAGTAGCGAGACCCACAACCAAAACATCTATCATGCTGCCCCGGTGGCATCAGTTTAGTATCTACCCCAGTTTTGATATCAAAACATAAAAGACTACCGAGGTAGCCCAAAGCATAAAACTTCCCATCATGATAAACTATGTCAGCAAGCATGTCGTCTTTGAAAAACTCTATATCACGCCATTTCGCTTCACCATATCTCCAGGCGGCCAGTATCTCATCCGGAGAATACATCACCATCATCGAAAAATCAGCACCATTTTCCTCCAGACACGGCGAAGCAACCACCTTCTGGAAAAAATTCGGTTCCCAGCTGTTAAATTTGCCGGATGTAGTTGTAGATCGACCAACGAACTCAAGTCTGTAGACTTTTGTAATCTCTTTAACTCGATAGTTGAGAGAGCTCAAGTGCTTTGGGATGATACCAGTGAAGTTTTTAACTCGACGTCCAGAAAATGGATCCTCGAGCTGGACCTTTCCATTGTAAGATTCTTTGACTCTGACCCACCACGTTTTAGTGTCGTGTGCGTTCAAGATTTCGCCAAGAGGTTCGATTGCATAAATGGTGGACTGAGAGAGAAGAAGGTGTCCACCGGGGTGCCTTTTTTTGCAATCAGGGAAGTTAATCCTTATCAGTTTTGAAAGAGGAGAATGAAGAGCTCGAGGTGGAGAGATGACTGAATGAAGTTTGCGGCAAACAGCTCGGAAGCTTTGGGTGTCGACCTTTGAATTGAGACGGATTGTGACACAAGGGAAGAGATCGTCAGGAAGGGACAGCCAGTTGGGTGTGTCACTGGGGAAGGCTGAAACCCTAACTCTCCTTGAACGTTGAGATGAAGGAGATGATGAACAGTCAGAATTGCTCATAGCTCAATGTGAAAAGAAACAGACAGACAATTTGAGAAAAACCTCAGTTACATGACATCATTGCTCTGATACAAGTGGGGCGGGGGGCCTTTGATTTGTCACGCGAAATATTAGTCACATCACATGAAAATTTTCACTTTATCTGTGTTTTGCGTGCATCAGACAACGAGTGAGTGATGACAAAGTAAATGAACATGGGACAATGCTCTGACCCTCCATGAAAGCGTTGTTACAGATAATTCAATCGCAGAACGACCTGCAGCCACCCAAAGTTTGTCTTAAAGACAATTTGATACCCAAAAGGTTTGGAAATAACAAACAGCCACTTTCTGTTCATATCTGTCAGTGAATTCCGTCAATAATAACGGAAAAGACTAAAACGCCCTTATTATTTTCTTCATTTTCCCCCCTATTTTCTTCTTCCCTTTTCTTTTCTACCGCTTTACATACATCTCCTTCCCTAAGATTTCAGCTTTTCATCTCCATCGAACTCCCCCTTCCCCATTGGACTTGTACCAATTCTTGTTCAGTCTTGATTTCACAATTCCCAGATCTATTGGATGCTTGATAATGGCAAAGTAATCGGTCAAACCAAAAGCCTTAACATCAACAGGAGCATTAAACACCCAACCATGCTTGTGCTGCATCAATTTCTTAAACAAATTACTATAGTTCTTGAAAACCTTACTTCCTAGTTTGTTAACGTTAGTTACTGTTAGGTAGAGTTAGTTGTGGAGTTGTTACAACTTGGGTTAATATTTGTATTAGTTACTAATCAGAGTTAGTGTTTGCTGAGTTAGTTCTCTAAGTATAAAACAATGTACAAATTACATTTGACTATTGAAAAGGAATTACATTTTTCTTTCCCAAACTTCACGCTTCAACGTGGTATTAGAACAGGAGTTTTCTTGCGAATTTTTCTAAAATTGGTTCGATTGAACCTTTATTCTCTTCGGGTTTCAGCTCAAAAGAAGCTCAAGATTCATTGTTTTCTTCAGCTTGTGCTCAAAGCTTTAGAAGTTCAGTTCAGTCGACTATGGCAGAAGAATCAGTTCTCTCTTCGATTGATTCGAATTCGCCCCTCTATGGCCATCCATCTGATACGCTAGGGTTAGTTCTTGTGTCGGAACATTTTGTAGGAACAGAAAATTACAACATTTGGAGTAGAGCCATGACTGTCTCTTTATGTGCCAAGAATAAGTTGGGTTTCGTTAATGGAACCGGTATGAAGTCTTCTGTGCATCCTCATTTAGTTCCACAATGGGAAAGATGCAACTCTTTGGTTCTCGCCTGGATTTTCAATTCAGTCTCGAAGGAAATTTTTAACGGCATTGTATACTCGACCAATGCATCACAAGTATGGCAGGATTTGAATGAGCAGTATCATAAGGTGAATGGGACTAGGATTTTTGGTATCCATTGAGAGATTGTGAATCTTACACAGGGAACCAATACAGTGGCAATCTACTTTAATAAACTTAAATCGCTATGGGACGAGTTGGATTCCCTGGTAAGTCTTCCTACTCCAGATAGTGCTTCTGCAAAGGCTTATCTCAAGCATCTTAATCAACAAAAATTACTACAATTTTTTATGGGTCTAAATGATTCATACTCTATGGTCAAAAGCCAAATTCTGCTAATGAATCCCCTGCCAAGTGTGAAACAAGCATATTCAGTGGTGAATCAAGACGAAAGCCAAAAGATTTTAGCTGCTTTGAATGCTAATACAGATGTTATTACGGCCCTTTAGGCTCTAAATGGAAGTAAGACTCAGAATCCAAGACAGAGGTATAAGGGAAAGAAGCCCTACATCGAATGTGACTACTATCACTTACCTGGTCATAACGTGAGAAATGTTACAAATTGAATGGGTATCCAACTGATTACCAATTTACAAAAGGAAAGGGAAACTCCAAAACCAAATTTTCTACTAATCAGGTGCAAGCACAGGATACAGTTATAGAAAAGCCTACTAATGTTTTAGTTGGTCATGTTTTTACATTGGAGCAATACAACCAAATTCTGGAGCTGTTGGGAAAAGAAAATGTTACCTCCGCAAATCATACTTCCGCAAATCAATCTGCTGCAAATCTTGTAGGTATCTTTAACAGTACACATGATGTTTCATTTTCTTATTTAGATAAAAATGCTTGGATCATAGACATGGGGGCCACTAACTATATGACCTGTGACTTTTCTATTCTGCAATCTCCTGTTGCCATAAAACCTTCTTCAAAATCCATTATAGGGTTACCTGATGGTTCCAAGACTCACATTGCATATGTAGGTTATGCAATTTTGGACAATGGCATGCATCTCTCAAAAGTTCTACACATACCAACTTTCAGACACAATGTACTTTCAGTCTCCAAATTTACAATTTCTAACAATTGTGCCATCAATTTTTACCCTGATTTCTGTCTAATCCGGGACCTTTATAGTGGCAAATGAAGGGGATTGGTAAGCATAGCCAAGGCTTATATTTTCTTGATCCAAATCCACATTGTCGAAAGTAGATGTTTCAAATAAAGTTGCTTGCAATATTTCCAAAGGTCTTTGTTCAAACAATAATATACCATTTCAATTTCAGTCTAATAAAGATTATGATTTTCCCAATACTTTTCAGACTGCTAATGTTTCTATAAATGCTGAATTATGGCACTGAAGATTAGGACATGTCCCTTATACAATATTACAGCACATGCATAAAAATTATGATGTGTCTAATCCCCCTCACTGCAATGTTTGTCCATCAGCTAAGCAAACCAAGGTTCCTTTTCATCATAGTAACTCAGTCTCTAGTTGCATTTTTGACTTGTTACACATAGATGTTTGGGGTCCATATAAGATCCCAACACATGGAAATGCTAGATATTTCCTTACTTTAGTTGATGATCATTCAAGAGTGGCCTGGTTATTTCTTATGCAATATAAATATGAGGCTTTCATTACCATTCAAAACTCCATTCAAATGGTGCAAAATCAATATCATTATACCCCAAAATGCATTAGAAGTGACAATGGACTAGAATTTTTTAATAAAGAGTGTCATGATTTGTTTCTTAGTAAAGGGATTGTCCATAAGAGTTCATGTGCATATTCCCCTCAACAAAATGGAGTTATTGAGAGGAAGCATAGACACATCATTGCAATAGCTAGAGCCTTAAAGTTCCAGTCTAATATGCCAAGTCAGTTTTGGGGATATTGTGTGTAAACAGCCGTTTACCTTATTAACAGGTTTCCCTCTTTTATTCTCAAAGGTTTATCATCTTTTGAAAAAAAAATTTGGTCATTCTCCTTCATTGGATCACATAAAGGCTTTTGGTTGCTTGGCTTATGCTACCATTGTCACCCTACAAACAAATTGTCACCTAGATCAACTCCTTGTGTGTTTTTGGGATATTCTTTGACTCAAAAGGGCTATTTCCTTTATAACCTTTCTTCAATGCTTGATGCTCATAATGCAAAACCTACAGCACCTCACTCTGCTCCCTCACATGATTCCCCACCTAATTCCTCTACTCCTCAACAGATTACATCCCTTAGAAAATCCAGTAGACTTACACGGTCACCCATTTGGGCAATAGACTTTGTTTGTCCATCACTCAATTCTTCTAATTCGGCCAATTGCATTCCCTATCCTATCTCTAATTCTGTCTCTTATGCTCATATTACACCTACTTACAAGGCCTACTTATCTCATCTTAATCTAGTTGAACCTTCTTCTTTCCATTCAACCTCTCAAGATCCAATTAGGTGGCTGCAATGCAAAAGGAGATCCAAGCCTTAGAATTCAATAAAACCTGGTCCTTGGTCCCTCTACCTCTTGTAAAACTCCAATCGGTTGTAAATAGGTCTATAAACTCAAGTATAATGTTGATGGGTCCTTAGAAAGATATAAGGTCAGGTTGGTGGCCAAGGGTTATGACACAACCCGTCCCGAATTTCCTCATCCCGTAGGATCCGGGCGCTCCCACAAGACTCGGATACCCAGACGTGCCATGGAAAAACTCGAAACCTGTTTAAAGACTACTTTCTGAATAACATCATGTATTCCATCTCCAACATCTCAAAAAAGACATACATCATCTTCGTTTTACAAAAGAAAAGAGTTAGGGAAACTTTTGGTATCAGTTTTTCACTTATACTACACATTCCAAAATATGAAACAAAAGGAAATGCATGATGGAAACATGAGTTCTTGAAACAAGTCCAGATTTACAATGCGACTAAATATAGACCCACATAAAATATGTCAACGCGTGGCAACAACCTGAGCGGAGGCTCACGCTCGGCACGATCTCCGGAGGTCCGGTGGGGGGAAAACATTTAAAGGGGTGATCTGAAATCTCAGTGAGTGGGAAAAGGGGGGTTTATAAAATTCTAAAAAAAAGAATAATGCTAACATACAACAATTTTCAAGCAAATCATGGCAACAATGTAACTTTATGAATATGCAATAGAACAACCACCCGTTCCTCACATACAATATATAATTTATTTCTAATCATCCTGCACTCAATAACTGTACTCTGACTTACTTCCTTTAACTGTATCGGATCTGTATAAAACTCTCACATTTATTATTAAAACTCTCACCACAACTAGTACCCTGGGGGAAATCTGTCTACTGGTGGGCGTCCCACACGCAGGCAGAGCGAGGGACGTACCTGTCATACCCGGCAAGGTCTATCATCGCGGACAGAGCCTAAAAAACTGTCATACCGGGCGGACCACTCAACGCCCAGGCAGAGCCATAAAATCTGTCATACGCATGCGCAAGCAAATTCTAACTGTCATACCCCACGGATCCTCATCGTCGGGCAGAGCCGAAATCTGTATCTCTGGGGATGGGTACTTCGTAGGGTGGTTTTTGCCCACAACATACTCTGGATAATCTCATGTAACATGTAAGTCAATAGCATATTTCATATGTACTTATAAATCATACATATATGACATAATATTCAAAAGTCACATATAGGGGTGAAACTGCAATT